CACTCAGTCAGCGCTTACTCAGCTCCTCCCATGTGCAGGCTCTGTGTTCAGTGCTGCAGCCGGGTGTGGGAGGCAGGAATTTGTTCTTGCCTTCAGTGAGCTCCCTGTCCTTCCAGCAGTCTCTTGATTAGAACCAAAAAGCCAGGTACCCTTGACCCTTGAGGAGAGTAGAGAGGTTTTGGACAGCTTTGTGTCCCTGGCTGCTTCTCTCTGATGTCCTTATTTGGGCGCTGTGAAAATTTATTTTCTTCCATTCAATAATGTGGAGCACAAAAGTACTTGCTCTGTATAGACCAGGGGTCCCCAACCCCCTGGTCTGCGGACCAATACTGGTTCATGGCCTGTTAGGAACCGGGCCGCACAGCAGGAGATGAGTGGCAGGTGAGTGAACAAAGCCTCATCTGTATTTGCAGCTGCTTCCCAGCCACTAGCATCACTGCCTCAGCTTCACCTCAGATCATCAGAAAGGTTGGGGATCATTGAATAGACAATCTCTAGTGATATTCATTTCTACAAGATGTCCCAGGAAGAGAAACTCTTTCAAAATCTTGGGAGATGTAAACCTGGGCCAATAAAAGAGACACATGAAGTTATTTGGAACCCAGGGGAGTTTCTCAAATGCCTATTTTGAGAGCTCTGGACTTTGGCAAGGGCGTGAGGGAATGGATACCCTCAGATAGTACAGCATCTGTCTCGGTTCTGGGGAAGTGGACGTTGTTACCTGTTCCTGAGCTGAGCCATGGACAGGCTGGTCCTTGGCCAAACTTCAAAGTATGTCTGGTTTATCTTTTGCACCTTTATCCCTCTCACCCTTCTTGGCATCCAACTCCCCTCAGGTATACCCTGGGGACCATTCTTCCTTCTCCCATATTAGGACTCCTTTATTTGCTATCAACCAATCACATTAAGGTGTTAGTCGAAAATTCATCAAGATATTATCCCTCCGGGAATCATCGTGGATGTTAGGGATGCTTGAATCCTGTTCATGAAGAATCCCTAAAGCCTGCCTAGCAGGATCCCTGTTCAGAGCAGTAGAGCATGGTACAACTTTGTGGGATGAATGACGGAAGAGCTGGGAGGGACATGAGAGGGCCTCTGGTCCTCATTGTCCAGGCAAAGATTTAAGGCCCAGAGGTAGGGCGACCAGCTGTCTCCATTTACCCAGGACTGACGGGATCTCTAGGACATGGGACTTCCAGTTTTAAAACCAGACAAACCGGACACCCTGTGAGGGGCTGTGATGAGTAAACCGATGTGGCGGTATAGGCAGGCAAGAAGAGTTGTTCTGATTTTGTTCACCAGAGAGATGGGAAGCACAGACAGAGGCTGGTGGGAAGGCAATTCTTAAAAGAAGTAGATATAGCCAATCAACACATTTAAAAAAGTCCAAGCTTACTGGTAATATCAAAATACACACTAATGACAATTTTCACCTATTTGTCAAAGATTTAAACATATGGGAACAGGCTGAGAAACCAGCACTCTCATTCGCTGCTGGTAGGAATATCAACTGTTCTGATCTTTGGGGAGGGCAATTTGGTATGAGGTAAAGAAAAATGTCTTAAAGGTATCTATGTCCTTTGACCAAATAATTCCATTTCTTAGAATCTGGTCTTAAAGATATAATTAGAAATATGGTTGGAGTTTTGACTATAAGGATACTTATTTGTTCATGACAGCTTCATAATGAAGTGAAGTTGGAGGCAGCCTAACCTTTCCTAAGAGGCCAAATGAAAAACCAAATTCCTTTTGATTTTTAAGCAAAGTAATTCAACTCTCCTTTTGTTCTGCCCTCAACTTCCAGCTTATGTATGAAAGCCTATATTTTAGAACTCCAACAATTCTCTCTCAAAGAGGAATTTTGCTATTGGCCCTTAAAAAAATTTTTTTTTCCAGCCACTTATCGCTTTCATCACTCACATAGGCTGTTCCGCCCCTTGGTGTAGTCACTCTGGTCAGAGCATTTTTCATTGTAATAAAAGCAACCAACTCAGACTATCTCAAGAAAAAAAAAAAGAATGGTAGCAGGGAAGGTTTGCTTAAGATCCTCCGGATAGGTGGCTCCTCCAGTAGATTGGCTCTTTCATTTAACACAATTGCGTTTGAGTCCCTAACTTTGGCCCTTCTAGCTGTGCCCATAAACAAGTTACTTAATCTCTCTGTACTTTCAGTGGCTTCATTTGTAACAAGGGATTATTAATACCTAATAGAGTACTTACTATGTGGCAGGCTGTGGTATAATAAAAAATATCTTTAGCCTTTGTTCCTGGTTCTGGCACAGGGCTCCTAGAACCCACAGAATTTCCTGAGTGATATTGTAGTAATGTCTTTTGTTATTTATAATGAGCCCCTCCTTCTCCCCCCACCTTTTAATCACATCTGAGTTTCTGCTAATGAGATGACTCAGGGTGGAGCCCCTAGACAGCTCATGATAGAGGCTGGCCACCTGAAAGACCAAACAGGTAAGATAAGAGGATGAGAACTTTCAGTCTCATTCTTACCCCAATTTCTGGAGTCAAGGGAGAGCTAGAGATTGTTCAAGATAAAAACTCTTGAACAACAAGACCCAGAAGAGCTTCTGGGTTGGTGACTGCATCCACGTGCAGGAAGGGTGGTGTACCTGAACTCCACAGGGACAGAGGCACCTGTGTCTGGACTTACCCTATATACCACTTCACTGGGCTGTTTATTCATATTCTTTATAAGGAACCCATAAATGTAAGTAAAGTGGGTAAAGTGTTATCCTGAGTTCTGTGAGTCATTCTAGAAAATTACCGAACCTGAGGAGGGTTGTGGGAGCCCGCAAATTTATAGTTGTCTGGGTGGAAGTGTGGGAAGTCTGGGCACCCCATTCACAGCTGACATCTGAAGTGGCGGTAGTCTTGTGGGACTGAGTCCTTTAACTTGTGGGGTCTGATGCTAAATCCAGGTAGACAGTGTCAGAACTAAATTGTTGCACACCTATTTACGGCCGGAGAATTGGTTTGTGTCAGAAAACACACCACACAGGCAGTCTAAGCACTAAATATTAGATCAGTTAGTCCTTTTAACAACCTTATGAGATATGTTGTATTATCATCTGACTGTGAATATATGTAGACTTGGTTAGTTACTTCTCACAAATAGAATGTAGCAAAAGTAATGCAATGTGACTGGAGTCTAGGTTGTTAAGGAGAGATTCTGCTTTGTTCTCCCTCTTGGATTCCTAGCTCTGGGAGAGGGAATATGTCATGATGTGAGGACACTCAAGCAGCCTGTGAAGAGGCTCACATGGAGATGAACCGAGTCTGTTTGCCAACGGCCACCTCTGGCTTGCCAGTCATGGAGTGCTCCATCTTGGAAGCAGATTCTCTAGGCCTGTCAAGCTTTCAAATGACGACGGCCCAGCTAACATCTTAACTGCAGCCTCATGACAGATGCCGAGCCAGAACTGCTCAGCCAAGCTGCTTCCAAACTATAAGTTCTGTCTCATGTAAACTATGAGATAATAAATGTCTATTGTTTTAAGCCACCGAGTGTTGGGATAATTTTTTTTTTAACAATAGATACAACCATCTTGACTTTCATCCCTCCCAACTTATGGGCCTAGCAAGACCCCAACACTGGTCAAATCTAACTTTCACCTATTCCATGACTATACTCTAGCTGTTAAATGTAGCTGGAGAAAAACGCATGACTGTGCTGAAAGTCTCCCTTTAAATTCATGACCTGTGACCACAGGAGGACCATATTGCTCTAAGATTGGAATGCCCTAGGGCTTAGTTCTTGACTAGCCTCTCTTTTCCTTTCTTCCCTGCCCCTCGTTTCCCTCCCCTCCACCCCACTTCTCTCCCTTCTCCTCCCCTCCCCTCTCCTCTCCGCTCCTCTCCTCTCCTTTCCTCTCTAGGCTTTTTTTCTGGGGTGGCCTTATCTAGTCCCATGGCTTTAAACACCAGCCATATGCTGCAAGACCCCTTATTTATATCACTATCCAGAGCCTCTCCCCTGAGCACAGAATGAATAAAGGCAAAGTGTGTCTTCAGCTTCTTCCTTTTTTTGGCATATTTCTTTCCACCTCTCTGTGGTTCCTCTTTCTTTTCCTGATATCCAGTTTATTCATACTCAAGGGTAACCAATATGATTAAAACATTAGTGCTCAGCACAGTGCCTTGCACATAATGAAACTATTAATCAAATGCAGTTAGATTATTCCTTTCAGGGAACCGTATTTACATTTGGCCTAAAGGCAAAATTATGCCACTCTACTGAGGAAATTTCAGATATGGGCAGATATGATTTCATCTTATCTTAGCTTTTCAGAAACGCTATTCTTCAGCCACTGACTAAACCCTTTACTTGGCCAAAAGTCATGGATATTTCAATCCAAAAATGCAAATTAGACCTTGACGTTTGAATCATTTTCAAAAGTTTCACATGTCAGAACCTCCATAAATAAGAATGTAATTCTACATCCCTCCCCTCTTCACTTTATAACCATAGGATGGACCTCAATGAAGTGACAATGCTGTGGAAGTCGGGAGCGCTGAATCAGTCTGGGTCCTGTCGCTCCAGGTAGTGAGGAGAGTTGGATGAAGGGGCTGTTTTCCAAGGTTCAGGTAAGCAACAAGGGTGAAGAAGCAAGAGAAGGTAGTAAGGAGTCCCAGGGACCAGCAAGAACAGGGACTCGTTATCACCTCTAGGCTCAAGGAGCAAGTGGGGAATAGTGGCCTGATCCCAGGGGCAGCTACAGCTAGGAGAGAGAGAGCTTGGGATGAGGACTTTACTCAATCATCAGCCCAGCAGGGAGGGAGCTGGCCGAATAAACATCCGGACCTCCTTCTCCTTCCCGTCTCTTGTCAATGCCTCCCACTGGCCAAACCTAACCAGAAACCAGAGAGCAAGGGAGACTCTTGGTATAGACCACGCAGGTCAGCCTCTTGGATCTCAGAATGGGGCAGAGAAGGCTGGAAAGTGGAGCTGAGGAAGCCAGTGGAGAATGTCCTACAGACTTGTTCTGAACGTCAAATCTAGGAGTCAAAGCTATGAGAAGGTAATATTCTCAAGGTGGATGGTTCATGATCCCCTGTTTATACTAGCAAAAACAACTAAAGTTGATGTTCTACTTCAAGATGAGGTATGTAATAATTAAATTTATGTGTCAACTTCTCGAATTGCCAAAGCCATCCTGAGAAAAAATAACGAGGCTGGAGGCATCACTCTGCCCGACTTCAAATTATACTACAAAGCAACAGTAATCAAAACAGCATGCTATTGGCAGAAAAACAGACACATGGACCAGTGGTACAGAATTGAGAGTCCAGAAGTAAACCCATATTTATACAGGCAAATAATTTTCAACAAAAAAGCCAAAAACATACAGTGGAGAAAGGAAAGCCGCTTCCAGTGGAAAACTGGAAAGCCACCTGCAAAAGAATTAAACTAGATTGTTGTCTATCGTCACACACTAAAATTAACTCAAAATAGATTAAGGACCTGAATGTAAGACCTGAAACAATAAAATGCAAAGAAGAAAACATAGGAACTAAACTCGTGGACCTTGGACTTAAAGAGGATTTTATGAATTTGACCTCAAAAGCAAGGGAAGTAAAAGCTAAAATAAATGGATGGGACCACATCAAACCAAAAAGCTTCCGCTCAGCAAAAGAAACCATCAACTAGGTAAAGAAAGAACCACCTGAATAGGAAAATGTATTTGTAAGCAACGCCTCCAATAAGGGCCTAATATCCAAAATATACAAAGAACTCATACGACTCAATAACAACAAAAAACCAAATGATCCAATCGAAAAATGGGCAGAGGACCTGAACAGACACTTCTTCCAAGAGGACATACAAATGGCTGACAAATACATGAAAAGATGCTCAACATTGCTAGCTATTAGGGAAATGCAAATCAAAACCACGATGAGATACCATCTCACAACTGTTAGAATAGCTATAATCAACAGGACAAGTAATAACAAATGTTGG